TTGTTTGMAGGTGTATTTCAATTAATGTAAACTATGCTGTAACTTTTGATGAGTTGTWTACAGCCAACAATTCAAGGGAAGGCAAGTTTTTAATAATAATTCGATATGACTCAGTTGCTCTTTGTATCATCTATTTGCTTTTATTTGCAAATCTTATATATTTTCAATGTTGTACTACAATATTGAATCTAGTACTAAGTTTACTAAGTTACGTTTCTACTTAAAATGTAAGACATATTCAGGATCCACTGTGGTAGACTATTACAAACCCAGAACTTTGATTGGCTATTGAACTGTGGTCTATTTAAGATATACCTCTACGTTAATCCATGAAAAGTTGAGAAAAAGTAATTTTGTTAATGCATTTCTCAATACAAGTACCTTCCGTACACTTAAGTAGAATATTAACACTCCAGTGTAAGGCTTATAAATCCATAGTATACTTGAACTTATGTGCAAGCATCRAAATTACCAACACCATAAATATTTATAGATTGCATTCATGGAATGTGACTAACATTGCTCTTCATAAGAGTACCTTACACCATAAAAACTGATTTTTCAAAAAATTTGAATATGTAGTAAATAAATTATACTCAATGAAATAAAACCCAATAAAACTTATAATTATAACAATGCTTTCAACCATCAGAATGATGCACAGGGAAAAAACAAAAAACAAACAAAAAACAAACAAACAAACAACAACAAAAAAACAAAAAAACAACAAAAAAACACACACAAAAAAAACAACAATATGGCTGGGCTCCAGTTAATTGTTTCACACTCTCTGCATTTCCACTTCTGATAGATGAAAACAAGGCTTACAKTAGGACACAATAACCAGGATCACTTGGATAATTTGATGGGTGCCAATCTTAGAGCATGAAAACCGTTAATTTGATTGGCTAATTCAGTTATAATTTCTGCCTTTGCTTGATATTACCGGTTTATTTAATCCAAGTGGTCCAAGTTAGTGGCTCATAACTGTATACAAAGGCAAAAAATAAAGTAAAAGTGTTATCATTTATCAATAAATAATTAATGCATGTATATAAATATCAAACTCTAGTTAGATCTATTGTGGAATTCTCTATAAAGTATATTCACTTTTAAATGTCACCTTAACATTATTACAAAAAAATATTAAAATACACTCTTTAACTAAATAAATTGAATTATATCATCAAAGCCCCACTGTGGTTCAAGACAATTTCATAGCATCCTTTCTTTTGTGTTTGAACTTATTTGCTTTTATTTGAGCTTATTTTGCTTATTTGCTTATTTGCATTTTTCAAACAAAAACATAAAAAATACATATTAAGGAACCATGGCAGAAGAAGCTCAATAATATTAATCAGATTTTCAATATGAAAAACACACTGCATAAATAATTCATTTTGTATAAAAATAAGATGCAGACTTGATTTTCCCTTAGTTTGTAGCTGGAAAAATCCTTGATCCCCCACCCCACCCCTCCCCCCCTCGATGTAAGCTTATATTTTCACTCTTTGGGCTTTTTTGAAGGGTCATAGCTATAGCCTACTGTGATAGTCCGCTGTTCATACCCATACACTCTGTCCCAAGTTCTCCAGTCTCTGCCTCTTCCAACCAGCACGAAAACAGTGGCTTCTAAAGCATGACATGTATGTGGRCAACCAAGACACTCTGCGACTACAAGAGAGCTTGGAATCTCATTGAAATTTGTTGGCGTTTCGTAAGTTGTATAAGGACAGGGGCTGGCATCTTGTGCAGCAACATCCCGACGAAGTCGACGCTGAATGACACTTGATGGTTCTTGGTAGAATATCCTTTTATCGACGAATAGATATCTTTTTCTGATGTGCTTTAGTTGTTTTTTGGACTTTCTGTAACTTAGTGGTGCTGACAGGGATAAGCCAAGTAGATATGCACTTAATAATACTGCTACAACCTAAAAACAAATTAGTATTATTATTGAAGTTACTGGATACTCTATCGAATATATTAAAKGTCCTTTTTTGACAAATTGATGAAAGTTTTTGATCGTTCGCCATCTTAGCGTATAGCTATCATCTATATAATAGCTTGAGATTAGTCCCAGGGCCTCTCGCCCTCGCAGCAGTCGCTCAATTTTTTTTTTATCACTCCTGGCTTCAAATTACTAATACCCTTACACTGATTTTAACACATTATGGTGCTTTGATCCTCCGGGAAAAAACGCCCATAATCAGAATGAAGATTTCTTCATAAATGGTGAAATYTGATCTAGAGACTCGTCGAGTTTCGTATTACAGCGACCTCACTCGGTATCGGCCGGTACAAATTCGGGTCAAATTCGTAAATGTCCCGCGTTTTTTCACCTCACCTTTTTTAAAAGATTCATCTTGATCTCAGGTTTTTTAAAGTGAGTCTATTCTCTCTCCTGCAAGAACCTGCTTGCTTTGAAGCCCAAGTTAAAATGCTTAACCGAAATGGATATTTTATTCTTATGTGTAAATGATTTACTATTGATTACGTAGTAATATTGGGGGAATTACCCTACCTCAATGTCACATGCCGATTACAGCTGATTTTGTAAATTTTCCGGTTGCAAAGATGTGGATTGGGGTTTAACCKTTGAATTACAAATTGTTGAGCGATAGTGAGATATACGGAAGTTGATTTAGGGCACTCGACGTCATCTTAGATAGGTCAACAATCCATTACAGTTGGATGATCCTCATTAGTATTAATGTATTCTGTTATGATTACATTTGTATCAGCGCTGTTTCAGCAATATACTTACATGCTTAAACAAGAGTAATTTTATAGCAAAATGACAACATAGCTGGATTATATCAAGTTGACGTTTTAATGTAAGCATCCTTGAATGTAATTACAAAAAAAAAAAGATTAGAAAAAAAAAGCGGTTTCTAGCTGCATTACGTTATCGTCTGTAACAAAGCACAATGTAAAGTTTTTTCGGTGCGGTTTACGACTTTGTTGAAAAACAGTTCCTCTTTTACTGTTGAAAAACTCCTTTTTTGAAGAGCGGAAAAAACGAAGAGGAACAGTAAGCAAATAAAGCTCTTTGGAGCTATTGGAGCACCCCTCAGTCCTGCGATTTTTCTTTCCTTGTTCAGTGCATGATGATTTTGATCATTTCAAATTCGTAAAAAAGAAAATCACCTTTGATATCTATATGATATCTATATTTTTAGTTCAGGTATGAAAAGACTCCTTGAGAAATCAGCAGAGAATCAGTATCGTTGCCGGATCAAAACAAATATTGCCTATTAGTAGTTCAAAAAACTTTACTAAGTAAAAATTGTCAACTTCTTTTTGTRACGAAGTAGTTGATACTGTACTAATAGTCAATGCCAAGTAAAATCTATTTAATTGTTATAAAGTCTCCGATCCAAGATGTATAGCATCTATCGTTATAATTTATCATAAACATTAATTTAATTAATATTGAATTTTTCAAATTCTTTCGCCGTGAATCAGTTCCGGAATAGTTGTTCCTCATTTCCAGGCTATCGGCGGACAAGAAATTCACGGCCATTGATCCACAGTACACAAACCTAAAAGTAACCGTTGTCTCGGCGAGCGCAGCAAAGCCAAACTATTGTATGGTCCTTTTAGACTTAATTCTATATTTTATTAAACAACAGAATATTTAAACTGACATTGTATGGATTGGATTAATATATGATGGCATTCAACAGGGACTAGTCCCATTTGGCCATCASYATTTGTTAGTGACCTCATCAGATAAAAAAAAGTCAAGCTGAGAATTGACGTCATTGTTACCATAGTAACATATAAGCGCGTTGATAATAGATCGATCTGGTTAAAAAAAAGGTCGAAAAGTGTGCTTTTTTTTGTTTTGGTGGCGGTCTGAGTCCAACCCACACCGACTGAAAATAGAAAAGAGTGATGCAGTCCTGAAAGAATTAGGAAGCAAAAGAGTTCCTTTTTAAAGAGGGAGGGGATGTAGGCATTATGTTAGGAAAAAATAAGAATTTTTGTTTATTCRAAAAAGGAAATAATATAAATTCATGCACAATCCAGAAATTGAGTGTTCCAAAATGTCTTCGTTGCGACGAAGATTACCTAGCAACTGTTCTGCTATAAATAACTAATGATGTCAAGCATCTCGTGACGAAGGAAGCCTTCGCTGAAAGACTGGTAACTAATCTTGCGAYTGAAAATATACGAAAGTTGTTTGTGTCAGGATAGAGGTAAAAACCGGCTAAAAGTTCTTAAAATAAGGTATGTTTGCTTTTTTCTTAACTCAAATAACTCATCTGGTATCATTCACGAATTTCATGACGAAAATTAAAAGAAAAATCGCTTGAAAAGTGAAAAAAACAGGGTTCAATTTCATTGCTCTGACAAGTTGCATAATTGTGTTTDCTGCAAGATTAGGTAAGCTTAAAACTGTTTTGGATTCTCAACTAACTCAGAAAAATTTATCATAGAATTAATCAACTTGCAATAGTACTGACCATTATAAAMCCAATATTTTGTTTTAACGGCTGTCCGGCGGATTATAGTTCACCCTTCACAACTCGTTAAGTTAAGAATAAAGCTTAACTTGATTCTCAATTGCCTATTGTTATTAATAAATTCAATTTATTTTCAATAGCTGGGAATTGAATTATTATGAGCTACCCTCCTCCTTATCCACAACAGCAGTCCCCCTATCCAAGYGCTCCACCACCTGGTGGACCACCGCCAGTTGGGTATGAAGGTTATCAACAAGGCCCACCTCCTGGATACAGCCAAGGACCATATCCAGGACCACAATATGCACCACCACAGTATGGTCCTCCAGGGGGACAATATGGACCRCCAGCTGGACAGTATGGACCACCAGGGGGYACSGTATATACACAACAACCTAAYACAGTTTATGTTTACGAAGAACGGAAAAGAGATACAAGTGGCGAAGAATGCTTTATGTGGGGTTTATGTGCAGCTTGTTTGTGCTGCTGTCTGATGAGTGACTAGCGTTTTAATCATCTTTTTTATTWCACACTCTTTCAGTGTGTTATAATGTATTATATTATAGACAATGAAAATCAAAGCCATCATAGCGAAATGTTGAATTATTTAAAGACAATTATATTACCAAAACTGCAGTATTGCAGTTATTGCACATTGCCGCTGTATAATAGTGATATTAGAATGGATATTAGCAACAGCAATATTTCAAAACCTAGCTATTATATTGAAATGTTAAGTCGGTATAACTAGACAATTATATATCAGTCAGCAGAAATTGCAGTATTCGTTCAAGTATTGCATGTAAACGACTGTATCATACTAAATGCACAAATAGCTTGTATACAGGCCACGAAAGTTAGTAATTATCAGTATGTTAAAATTACTCCAACTTTGAAATTTTTTTTTATCTGCTCATTTCTTTACTATGAAAAAAACTATTTGATTTAAAGCTATTTACAAATACAGAAGTAATTTCTTCTGTTTACTCAAAAAATATAGTCAGATTTTATAATTTTCAATTTTGGTGATCAACAAATTAATAATCACACATAGAAGTTTTTGATTATCACACAGATGGAAGTTTGAATGTCCAATATTGTATTGCTATGATATGTGTAGACCAAAGTTCATAGTACAGTGTATGATTACTGTACCTAAGCTAGCACAGCTGAACAAGCTGCTGAATGAGTTTAGAAACAATGATATAACGAATGAAATATGCCTTAGTATTGTATTTAACACTTAAAAGTGTTTTATAGGCGAATACGCATCACTGTTTATAAAAATTATGAAGAGGAATAAACTGTCCTGTTTAGTTTATTTTGTGTGTGTGTGTGTTTTTTAATAGTATTCCACTTGGAATAAAGAAAGAAAACTTGACTGTGTTTTGAGCATGAATCTGTTTCCATCATAAAAGAAAGACAACTTTAACACCGCATCATACCAAAATATTTTACATCCTTGGGCTTGATAGGAATTATCTATAGTGTACATTGATGTTTTTATTCAAAGAGTGGATAAGGTTGTACGTGTTGCTGTTTAATTATTTTGGTACTTTATCAAACATCTTTCTTACAGTTTTCTGCTTACTGCAGAGTGAAAAAAAAAAAAGATTTGAAAGACATAATAGTGAATTAGGATTCAGATAAAACTAATTTATTTTTAAAAACCTGAAAATGAACAACAAATCAAGTGAATGCATTATTTGAAGCTGTACAGTTGTATTTCCAAATCTTGCTAATAGCTCAAGATCACAACTGAACTCCATTTGAATTTGCATATGCAAATTTTGAAAATTGTACTTGTAAAACCATTGTTATTTGTGTGAATCATATGCATGTATGACTTCAAATATCATATATTCTGAAATTATACTATGTGAACAATACGCACATTCACTGAAAGATTATCTGACAAAATGATTTAATTTTTGGAATCGCCTCCAAWCGATTTTCTTATCCTCTGATAMTTCTGAATTTATCTATTATTTATTTAAAATTTGATAAAGAAAATCSATGACCACCCCTCCCCCTCCATGACTATACCATAATGTTATCAAAGGTGATTGAAATCGACTAAATTGTCATATAGTGCAATATTAAAATAATCCCTAAAAGTATTTACAATATTCAATAATAGTATAAAATCCTGTACAATGCCGAGTCTTTTTAGTGACAAAACTATTAGTTTAGGGGATTTCGTATGACTGCAAAAAATACTGGATTTTCGTGACGTGTCTGTAGCGTGTCGTGACGGCGATGTATTCTTGGGCGAGGTTCCGTGACCGTGCCGTGTCACGTGATCCGTGCCTTTGCACAGTCATTACGAAATCTGTTCTACAACTAAAAAGTGCGAACGTTGCACTTTTACATAACCCCGCTACGTAATGCAGAAAGAATCCYAACTATTTGAAACTTATCGTGGCGCTGAAACGCTGAAACAGCGAACTCTAAAACCCCCGCTAGCCTCTTGAATATTTTTGAAATTGTTAATTTTGATGTTTTATTCATCGCCACCAGTTGTTTTACGAATAGTRCGAATATACAGCTATTTCAAAAAACGTTGTCGTGAAGAACGGCGAACAGCGATTGTCGAAGGGAGATTGCACGGCCGAAAGGGACTATGGTTACACTGTTAATTACACTTATTGGATTCACCTTTCATAGAAATGGAGGCTGAATGGAGCCAGTGTTAACCACAGGTTATCTTATAGCACAAATCAGTTGTTATTTCTCATCAACTAGCAAAATCCATGGCTATTTTGGTCGTGYAATCGCCGTTCGACCATTAATGACGTTCGCCATTTTATCMGACAACTTTTTTTGAAATAGCTATATAACGCGAGACGCACTTAAATAGACCTTTTYGATTTATCTGCTGTACGCGATACATCACAATTTCGGTTTGAATCAGTTTATATGTGGTACTATTTGAGGGGTCRGCCAACAAATCTCTTGTTTGGCCCTGAGAAAATCAAAACCGTGTATATATAAGTTGTGTGTTTTTGTGGTATATTCCTTTATTAAAAATCATTTATAAGTTTGTTAGGTACTTCCTCAGTGTTGCACTTTGAATAAGATGTACATTATTCGTTCTTATTATCGCGAGTCTTAACTGTAATTTCATCATGAATTTTTACGATTTGTAAAAAACACCAGCAGTAAAAATGCATAAATATTTAAAACAATCAATTGGCAAAACRACGCGAAAATTATTGTCTGCGAAATATGTCTGTTCAGATTTCTYAAAATCAAAGTGCCCGCGAAAATTAATACGAATAAGGTAATATTTCTAAACCCGCAATGAAGACGGGACGGAATTCAAGCGGCTGCTTTGAAGTTCTCTTTGACTTCTGTACGGTGATGCATGCCTATATTTAGTACGATAAACGGCGCATTTAATGGAAATACTTTTTACTTTTTGCTATAAAATATCAGCATTGTGTCTTGACACAATAGACTTTCAATCCATAACCATTTTGTCGCTTRTCGGAGGAATTACTATCGCAAGTTGTGCACGATTTGTCGATCTTTCCATTCTGTCTAGTCTTAGTGACGRCTTTGCTATCATCGTCCATGCACTCTGGAATATCAAACATGACATGTCCTGAATTTGAACAAGAAGGAATGTCTTTATTGCTGTGATCATCATTTGATGATTCAATTGCGCTCGAGCAGTTCGAAAACGAGTTGTCAAGATCGTCTCTGCTGTGCGGTCGAAGAGAATTGAARTCCCGATTTTCTAGCTTTCTCCCGACCATTGTCGGCGATAAATCGGAATTTTTTCGACTTGACGTCGGAGTTTGTTGATCAGTTTCTGAAGTGCTATGACGCTGTTTTCTGCTAAAAATGTGAAGTAAAGATAGATGCGTTGGCTTTGGCGCCATAAGATACGAACTATTCCTTGCTAACGTAGTGCCATTCGGATGAGTGTGTATTTCAGTAAGCTTTGTCTTGAGCTGAAAAGAAAAACTATTGTTAAAATCTTCTATTGATTTACCACAGCCTCAGTTCTAACGCAAGGTTAGGTATGTCTATATAGATTCTATGAGTTGCACGGTTTTCATGTTCGCGCCTTTTAATATTTACGCACGCCCGGGAATTTTACGTATACTAACGATGATTCTTYCAACACACACGGTGACATCAACGCCCGTGTACTTTGATATTTACGTACGCTACGYAAATGGCAGGTGCACGCACGGCGATTTTCACTTACGCTCTCGGTGTTATTTACGCACGCGCTTTTTATATTTACGTGCACGAACGGCGACTTTTACGTAAACCAACGCCGCGAATTMTTCACATAGGTACATGGTGAGATTTACCCAAACGCACCTGGTAATTTTCTCGTTTTAAAGCAATGACTTCAGTCTCCAGTTTAGTTTGTCTTTCCATGGTATCGCAAGTAGCCGTGGCCAAGCTGTGTTCCCTTCCGCCGTGTTGCCCKCGCGTAGATAACATGGTACCTTGTAGAGGATTACCATCTGGATCTTTCCACATTTGAATTACCTAACGATACGATTAAATGGAAAATGCAGTCTACATCGTACTGTTTCCAGCGGCATTTTAGGTAGACGCGAGCAATGATTGTTGATCTTACAATGATTTYTTATGACAACTATATTTACAGGTTATCGATCGTTTTAAACTGAGGTTCAACCTCGGTCTCGTTAAGGCATGGCTACCTTTCATAACGCRGGGAACTCGGCTATGCCTCGTTTCATGTCCTTATGTCCTTTTTGGTGTTTGGATACGCCGATTCAGTTTTTTGTACTCGTTTTGATGTAATTCTTCTAAWWTACAAATATCTCTAATTTCCATTTCACACTGAGACARCTGTCTGGCTCATCAAGTTCCTTAGTAATAGCATTACAAAAGTAGTAGATCTCTTACCTTTGGAATGAATAGGACACTCAGGGTCACTGTCGTGCAAAACAATATCACAGCGCAGATGAGMGTGAATCCAGCCGCGGGYTCGCTACTCGATACGTGCGACAATGGCACGCCTATAGCACACAGTAAAACAACGTTATAAACACTGATCCCAATAAACTTGGAGTCGTTTAAAACGGGAACCGAAACTTTGCGWGTCTCAAAGGCCAGGAAAAGTCCAAAGACCAGTAAAAGACTRTGGAATGAGTAAAAAGTAACAAGCCAWGGCAGAGAATGWGGACCACGACATTCTTCACGACATAGGATAATCTCGTAGTCACGATCTTTTGAAATCTAATGGAAAAAAACAAAAATATGTACCACTTGATGATTTAATCGCACTCTAGATTTATCGGTGGCAGCTTACCCGMGTTGGACCATCTACTTGAATAATTTCTCTTCTAGGAGGATGGAGTGACATCCAGAGAATTAACAATAATAAATCAACAAAAACGATGGCACCAAGAAGACTAAAAAGTTCTTTATCACGAACAACCTGAAATACAATAACAATAATGAATAACGAATGAGCTGCAAGAGCTAGAGCAGAGTGCTGGAGAACGGAAGAAAAGTAAAATAAAGAGCAAGAGAACGATCGTGAACATACCTTTTTGACTCTCTTGACATTACTAATAAAAATCTGGTGAACTCGCCATGTCTTGGAGAACATGGCACCATAACCTATGGTGAATCCYAAGGACAGCAGACAAAAACGAGCCTAACAACAGAAATAACACCAGGTAAATATCATCATTAAAATGACGACCTTGCTCCACCACAAGAAYGTCGAGTAAAAATTTGTTCAATTTTTTTCGTTCACRATTGCGATTCACACACCCTTCGGTTCGTGAGAGCGGTTTGAGTTTCGCGGTACTTAAGCCGAGGGTTTTTAAAATACATCACGGGAACTCATGTCGCATAAACTGCAATGCATTCATATATTAGCCTGTAAGTAACCTTTCTAGACAGRATGGGACAAGGKGAAAGGGAAGAGAGGGCCTGCAATAAAGATCTTACCCTACATGCCAGTGTGTAGCCCTTATCYGAAACTCTACCGTCCAGTCCGTAAAGAAAGATTGTAGAATAGACCATAATACAACCAAGAATAATGACATTGTTAAGGTTTGGACTTGATAACTTGATGTATCTAATAATAAAATGATTATTTTCTCTCAATAAGCGACTTGCACTATGATACGGATTCTTACCAAAATGGGTCATAGAGTTAAAGTGTCATCGCTTTTGTACACGTGATGTGTGACGCAATGTCCACCATATATATTAGATGAAGGTAACAAAATAATCTTGATTTGCTTGTGTAACATATTCATCCAACATGGCGGCGATAGCTTCGCGATCTATTTTCAGTATTCTTGCAGTATTCTTGCGGCGATAGCTTCGTGATCTATTTTCAGTATTCTTGCTCAAAAATTTTCACATCAAAGATCGTACTCTCTTTTACGAACACCTGTTTATATTTTGAACTTTCACATATATCTAAGTAAAACAACATATTTTTGAGCTTATTCACTATATCGAAATATGGAGATATAGTGCATTTTAAAGGTATAATCAAATTTATTTGAGCTGAATGTTTTCTGTTTGTGCATAGCTTGTGTCACGACCGCAATGCATGTTAGTTGACGCATTTGCTTACCTTTTGTTTC